GATGTGGAGATTGATCTGAAATACATGCCTGTCCTCGGTAGTGATTTAGAAGAGGCATGTATCAGCCACGGTCCAGTTGATGACAAAGCTCGCCCTATCCCGAATCTCAGTCGCTGTCAGGGGAACCCCTGCTCCGGCTGCTTTCGCCCTTCCAGCCAGATCCGTTCCGGACACTTTTCCATCTGATGCTCCAGACAGTTTTCCAGCCGCCGCTCCGGGTACTCCTGCACCCGTCCATTCGTCCATTCAACCATCCGGGACATCTGTCCCTCACTGGCATGTGCTATGTGATCAGGCCCAAGATCACTGTAGATACCTCCAGACACGTGCTACTGGGTAGTTACCGATTAGTATATAAGTTCTGCCTAGTTCGGGAATCCTCATCCTTTCTTCTCTTCGGATTCCCCTGCTAGGTGCGTAGTATTTCCGCTCCTGTATTCTAGTACCCATATTTATTCTTCGGATTCCCCCGTTAGTTTCCATGCCCCGTGCTGAGCTTAAGGTGGCCCTTACAGCAGAAGAAAGGATCTAAGGGATCAACCAGTCAAGATTGGGAAGTTTGGTGCAGGTACGGATTCAGACCACTACTCCAGTGCTTCATCCCCCACTTCAAATCTTGACCCCTCCTCCATTCTGATGGACCAGCCGCCTGCCCCGGCACCATGCAACCTGAGATCCCAAGTGTTCACACTCCGGATCTGGCTTCTGGAGCCATGGCCCGGCTTGCTGCTGTTGAAGGTTCCCTCATGGACATTCAGCTCATGCTCTGCAACCTATTGCTGAGCAACCAAAATCCGCTGCCTGCCCCCGCCCCTGCCGCTCTGGCTCCGGCGCCGGGTCCAGATTTCTCAGCCCTCCACCCAGCTCCAAAAAAGGTCCTTCAACCGAACCCTCTGGCCATTTTTGACGGCGACCAGACGCAAGGACAGATGTTCCTTTACTCTGTCCTCACCTTCTACCGGCTGGTTCTGGAAGCCTTCCTAGCGGATGGTAACATCTCGCAGGAGAAACTTGTCCAGTTTGCCATGTCCTTCATGTTGAAGGATGCGGCTGCTCGGTGGGCTGAATGGCGCTCATTGGCCGTCCTGTTCCCATTCCCCACCTGGGCCCAATTCGAGGCCGAGTTCTGCCTCCGGTTTGTAGAGGAAAACGAACAGGACCAGGCCCTTGCCAAACTCAAGTCCCACTCGTACTTCCAGGGCTCCCACAACATCTACTGGTACACGGACAACTTTGAGGAACTAGCTGTAACAGCCGGTTACTCGGACGCTCTCGTCCGGGTCACCAAGTATTGTTCCAGCCTCGGCCCACAGATCAACATCGCAATTACAATGTCTGGAACCGCTCCCGACCTCACCAACTATGACAGGTGGCACGTACGCGCATTCCGGTAGTACGAAGCATTCGGCTGCGCCTGGACCGGAAACCCTCCAGCCCAGACCGGAAACCTTCCAGTCTGGCTTCTGGCTGCTTTGCCTCGGCTGCATGCAGCAGGCATATTCCCCACCCCAGGACCTGCATGCGCTCCGGTCTTGTTCGCCCCACTTCTGGTGCCCGTGTTTCCAGCAGTCGTTCCGATGGACATTAACTGGACCCGTTCGCGTGCTTTCCCATGCACCTGCTTCCAGTGTGGAGCTGCCGGACACCTCGCCCGTAAGTGCCCCACTACCTCCGACGTCCGGCACACAGACGTTCTCGACAAGGTCATCTGTCAACTCGGCAACGACCTCCTCAATGAGCTGTTTGCCTGTCTTGCCACCACCACCTCACTTCCGGTGGAGTCGATCGATGAGGACATGGACCCGGCAGGTTTTCCTTCCCTGGCCAAGTGAGCGGTGCACCCTCGGTTGCGTCCCCTAATCACTATGCCCTCCTGTATTCAGACAATGCCAATACATTTGAGTCTGAGGTAGTAGCGAGAGGCAGATCCCCTGTCCCAGTCTCTGTCTGAGTGACTGAGACTCCTCCTTCCATCCTGGAGACGGAAACCTGCACTGTCCCCGAGCCAGGAACGAGGACAGTGACAGAGGCCCCTGTCCCCAAGCCGGAACGAGGACAGGCCCACTCTGGCGTGTTCACCACCCGAAGTGGGAACAGCAACTTCCCCAGCAGTACGTCATTGACTCTGTTGAAGGCTGAAACTCCCTGCACATCCTGTTAGACTTGCAGTCTGTTGAGACTGCCATGCAGATGTCAGTGAAGGCTCTGGTTGACTGTGGAGTGACTGGAGATTTCATCGACTCGGAGTATGTCATCTCCTGCAACCTTCCGGTCCAGCATCTCTCGCAGCCCATCCTGGTTCTCAACATGGATGGCAGCCTGAACCAAGTGGGCGGCATTACTAGTGTAGTTGATATGGTGGTCAACTACAAAGGGCACACCGAACGCATCCAGCTCGCTGTCACTCGGCTTGGGGAGCAGCACATCATCCTCGATTACTCCTGGCTCCAGAAACACAATCTGGAGATCAACTGGGAAACCAAGGAGGTTTGCATGAAGCGCTGCCCGACCAGCTGCACCTGCCGGGATGAGTTACGGGCTGTCCAGAGGAACGAGAAGCTCGCTGCCTCAATCCTCTGGCAGCTGCGCAAAGGTCCAACCCCGTCCATCTGTGCCATTGACTCGGAGGAGTGGTATGGAGATGATGGGTACAATCCGGCTGATTATGACGACCTTCCAGACCTGTCCCCAGACTCAGACAATGATGATGATGATGAGGACGAGCTCGAGGAAGGCGACCACATTCTCTACCTCTACACCATGTTCGCCTCGGTTGAAGAGATCCGTGCTGGAAGCACCTATACACGGAATTCTGCACTGGCCGGAACTGAGGTTCCATCCTGGGCCACAGACTTCTCGGACGTCTTCAACAGGGAGTCTTTCGACTCTCTGCCAGAAAGGCAGATGTGGGACCACACCATTGAACTCGTCCCAGATGCGAAGCCGGCCAACTGCAAGGTCTACCTGATCTCTCCACTTGAGCAGAAAGAGCTTGATCCCTTCATCGTGGAGGGATTGAGTACCGGCCGCATCCATTCGTCCAAGTCTCCGATGGCATCACTGGTCTTTGTTACGAAGAAGGATGGTGCCCTCCGGTTCGTCCAGGACTACCGGGCACTCAACGCGATGACCGTGAAAAATTGGTACCTGCTCCCTTTAATCAACAATCTTATTAACCATTTGAAGGGAGCCCAGTTCTTCACGAAACTCGACGTCTGGTGGGGTTTCAACAACGTCTGGATCTGGGAAGGTGACGAATGGAAGGCCATGTTCCGTATGAACTGGGGGCTCTTTGAGCCGCTGGTGATGTACTTCAGCCTTACCAACTCCCTGGCCACCTTCCAGACAATGATGAACAACATCTTCCAGGACCTCATTCTGTCCGGAGACATCATGGTCTACCTGGACAACATCCTCATCGCGGATTCCAACCTCACCCGTCACTGTGAAATCATCTGGGAGGTGCTCCGGCGGCTCCGAGAACATCGCCTCTTCCTCCGTCCTGAGAAGTGCGAGCTTGAGAAGTTGACAATCAAGTACCTCAGCATCATCATCTCGCACAATCACGTCGAGATGGACCCTATCAAGGTCGCCGGTGTCGCTGCTTGGCCCGCGCCTGAGAACAAGAAGGATGTGCAGCAGTTCCTCGGCTTCACAAACTTCTACCAGAGGTTCATCCAGGAATTCTCAGACGTCGCCTGGCTGCTTTTCGACCTGACAAAGAAGGCCATGGCCTGGACCTGGACTGCTGCCTCAGTCGCTGCATTCCAAGCCCTCAAGGACGCAGTGACCGCGGAGCCTATCCTGGTCCTCCTGGACGAATCTCGGCTGTACCGGCTGGAAGCAGACAGTTCCAACCGGAAACTGGAGCCGTTCTGTCACAGCAGGGCATGGATGGAAAGTGGCACCTAGTCACCTTCTACTCCAAGAGCTTGAATGATGTCTAACGCAGAGTGCAGAGCCAAGCAAAGCAAGGGATGGAGCTAGGGACTACTCGCTTGTAGTCGTAGTGTTGCGCTGGTACCCTACTGCTGCAGAGCTGCAGAGCAGCCTTTTTTGTTACTAACAAACTATTAGGGTAGTGACAACGTAAAACATAATTAATTAAAGTTTAACAGTTAAACTAACTAGTAGTACATAGAGTTCTCCCACAGCGGTCTACTAAAAAAAAAATCTATCTTTAATTTAATTTGTATAGTGGATGACTTTCCATAAGCATTATTTCGATTTTTTGAGCTCAAACTCCGCGCAATCAACGCACTGACACGACACCTGTCAGGACCCCCATCGGGCGGAGATCTTGGTTAGAATATTTGGACCCTCGTACAGAGCTTAAATATATTATAGTCTGTAGAGGGGTCCCTACCCCCTCTTCAGAATAATTTCTGCTCAAATACCTCACCTTTATACGATTCCGCCCGAATCAACACAGCCATCTGTCAAGGGCAGATTCGGACCGCACCGCGCCTGCGAATCTGTGTCATGGCCGCTATGGATACAGCGTCAAAATCTTCGGCTCGCTCTGCGGATCCAGTAGGACTGGTATCAACGGCTTGGTCTCCGTCGTTCTGTACAAAGTCTCTGAGCCTCGACGACACCTAGCAGTTGCCTAGAAGTATTATGGCGGTAGCCGAGCCGGCAAGCTGCTGTTGGTTGTGTATTTCGTTGTCCTCAAACTGCTGATGGAGGAAGAACGCGTCGATATCCGTGCTAGCTAGTGGCAGAGTGGTAGTGACTCGGAGTCGACGCGTTATTCATGTCTCACGTGTGTTGTAAACATGCTAATGAAATCAATGTTGCAAAATACTACTTTATGGCTTATGGGAGCTCATAAGCAATAGATTAATCCAAATAACTCTCGTGACGGCACGATTGGCACCGCTCAAATGGGGTTTGAGATAAGAAAAGGCTTATGGAAAGTCATCCAGTATTGCAGCTAATGCTACACTGTACTTAAATTAAAGTAGATATTATAATTCTAATTTCTTTATAAAATATTACGGGCAATGTTGGATTCGAACCAACGATTAATTAAAATACTCGTTTTCAAGACAAGCGCTATAAACCACTCTGCCAATTGCCCTTTTATTGATATCTTTTTCTTTCTCGCTCTCTTCTGCTGCGCAGCGCAAGGCAAAGCAGAAGGACGTACTTCTGCAGCGAACTCTTGCCTACTTTTTGCGTAGCACTACAAGAGTGTAACCTTGCGCTCTACTGCTTTTGCTTCGCCAGCCGCAGCAACGCCGGCAGTGGTACCAGCGCAGCAATACAGAACCATGTTACTTTTAGTGGTATACCTCCCTTTGTATACTTTGTATATCTTTGTATAGCTATGTTAACCTTTGTATAGTAAGTTTACACACTAGTTTTTTGTTTATAATTTTACGCTTGACTGTTTTAGTAGAGCTTTTAACTCTGCTACGCACTAGAGAACAGCTGATTTGACGCAGGAAAGAACCCCAATAAAGAGTGGTGTGGCTCCTGCTATGCTCTGCAGAGCAGTGCTCTGCCAGCAGGGCTACCAGCGGAAGGCAGAGCAGAAAGCGGGAGGGCTAGCTAACGCACCGCAGCAGTCCCATACGCGCATTATACCAGGGGTCTACCCTAAAGGATGGAGTGCGGAGCACTGCGCAAGGCAGAGCAGTGCTGGGTACTCGCAGCGTAGCATCCAAACCCAGCGTAGGGTTGTAGCCAAGCAGAGCTTAACGTAGCCAATTACCGTAAACCTATCGGAACACAAATTCCCGGCCAGTTCCTCTTTTATATATCAGTACGTGGCCTATGAATCGAGGGTAGGTTAGAGTCCGTAAGACTAAAGTTTTAAGCCTAAGGGGTGTTAACGAAACTACGTGATCCACGACAAGGAGATGCTTGTGATCGTCTGAGCCCTAGAGGAGTGGCGGCACTTCCTCAAAGGTGCGCAGCACCCGGTTGAGATCTGGATGGACCACAAGAACTTGGAGTACTTCCAAAAGTTGCAGAAGCTGAACCGGCGGCAGGCCAGGTGGTCCCTGTATCTGTCCCAGTTTGACTTCGCCCTGTTCCACCAGCCGGGCCGTCTCATGGATTGTCCAGACGCGCTCTCGCATCGCCCGGACCACGGAGCCAGTTCCGAGAACTTGGACGTTATGCTCCTTCAGCCAGAGCTCTTTCGGATCCGCACGATGGAGGGGATCACAGTTGACAGACCCGAGATTCCCCTCTTACGTGACGTCCGGAAGATGTTTGCGACCGAGTCAGAGCTCGAGGACCCCATTGAGCTTGTCGTCCAGGAGCTCCTCAAGAACCGGAAGGCCCCTTCCCCCCGCTCGGCTGAATGGCAAATCTCGGAAGGACTCCTCCTGTTTCATGGCAAGATTGTTGTGCCACGGAATAAGGACCTCCGTCGCTGGATTATGGAGCAGCACCACGACACGTGGGTCGCTGGACACACTGGCTGCTTCAAGACGTTGGAGCTCATCTCCCAGAACTACTGGTGGCCCCAGTTGTCCCAACACGTCAGCCAGTACACCAGAACCTGCGACGCATACAACTGGACAAAGGCGCTCCAGCAAATTCCCCATGGTGAGCTTCATCCGACCGAGATTCCGGATGAGCGCTGGGACACCGTCTCGGTGGACTTCATCGTCGAGCTTCCGGAAGCACATGGGTTTGATGCGGTCATGGTCGTAGTTGATGTCCTCGGTAAGCGGGCCCACTTCAATGAGTGCCACACCAGCCTCGGTGCTGTCAGAGCTGCCTGGTTGTACTACCGGAATGTTTGGAGGCACCACAGCATCCCCCGGAAGTACATTTCTGACTGTGGTCCACAGTTCATCGCTGAGTTCACTCGTAAACTGTGGCGCCTCATTGGTATTGAACCCGCTACGTCCCCTGCTTACCATCTGCAGACCAACAGCCAGACTGAACACGTCAACCAGGAGCTTGAACAGTTTGTCCGTATCTTCACTGGCTACAAACAGGACAACTGGGACAAGCTTCTGCCGGCAGCCGAGTTCGCCTACAACAACCACGTCTACTCCTCGATGCAGCAGGTGCTGTTTATGATGGACACCAGCTGCCTCCCTTGGATGGGTTTCGAGCCGAACGGCATGTGCTCTGCTGATGAGTCTGTTAACGAATTCCGCAACCGGATTGCTGCCGGAGTGTCCGAAGCCAAAGCCGCCCTCGTCAAAGCCAAGGACGAGTTCAAGCTGTACTGCGATCACTGATGCGTTGTGAGGTCTCCGAGCGTGCTACGCATCGCTCGTCGCCTCATGGCCCCTGCGGACCATCTGCACGAGTAACGGGACGAGCTCAGACGTACGCAACGGATTGTCATGAACCGTCTTTTCATTTTACTTCCAGAACCCGAACAACCCGAACAACCCGATCATTGATCAGATCAACTATCTGATCAATCGAACTTGGATACCGTTTTAGGATCCCAAACGGTTATGATCGGTTTCCCGACCTTCGGGTTCCCGATCACCCCTCTACGTTCCTATACCCCTTCATTTACTTCGCATTAATCTTGTCCGTTGTCATTGGACACTGTACCTTAATTTACAAACCCCTAGGGACTTTAGTATATAAACCGTAGTTATTCTCCTGTACTTTACACTATTCTAGTCTAAACTCCAGGCTTATTCATTGGAACTCTTCGTGCTTCAGTCGCCCTCGTCACCTCAGAACCCGGAATCTGCTCTGTGCTGACAAAAGAATAGTGTCTCTACACGGCGTACCCGACTGGACGTAACACGATGAGCACCGAATACGTGCTCCCCTCGATGGAGAGCTTTGGCGCCCTAAACGGCGAGGAGAGGGACAGTGTCCTGCTGCAGGCCCTAACACACGCAGGAGGGCAATTCGGAGTGATGCAGGAGGAACTGGGGAACCTGCGCGGAGAGAATCGTCTGCTCCGCGAGGACAACGTCCATTCGCAACAACTCTTGCGCGATGCCCTCGTCGCCTTGGGAAGAGCCTCTACAGGAGGGCCCAGGGAGACTAAACAGGTGAAGACGGCCCGTGTCGCCGCCCCTACCCCGTTTAAAGGAGACTCCGAATTGGTGGACTCCTATCTGGCGGAGTGCTGGTTGCACTTCCTGGACAACCTGACGTACGAGCGGGACAGCGCGAAGATCGCCTTCGTCCTGTCCTACATGAAGGAAGGATCGGCAGCGGCATGGGCCAACAACGTTGTGCAGGCCATGCGCAACCCGAGGGACCCCGATACCCCGCTGTATCGGAGTTACGAGGTCTTCGAGAAGAACCTCATTGATGCCTTTAAAGGAGGGGCACAGGTGGAAATCGCGCAGGCTAAAATCGAGAAGCTGCGCCAGGGTGCGGGAACGGCCACAGAGTACTTCACGCTCCTGGACACATACAACAACACCGCGGGTTACGACGAAACCACGCTTATCCGTCTCCTCAAGCAGGGGATCCTGAAGCCGGTTCTGCAGTCCGTCTACGGACAAACCGCACTACCGATCACCTATGCCGACTGGAAGGTGGCGGTCATCAAGCACGACGGGTTGTGTCGCGCCTTCCACGTTATGGATGGCGCGCTTCGCGATCGTCCCGTCACGGTGCCTAAGGTGCAACAGAACCAGAACCCGGGGAACTTCTTTCGCAGGAATGAGCAGCGCACTCCAACGAATCCCCCTGCGGCCGTCGTCCCGCCCCCGGTCGCCACTGGCGGGGCCCCTAACGCAGGGCCGCGCCTATGGACATAGACCGGACGGTCAGCAAGAAGCCGGTTCCCCGATGCTACCAGTGCGGAGAAGTCGGGCACATGGCCCGTAACTGCACTACCCGAGGACCCACCAACCCACAATTCCGAGCTTTGATCTCGGAAATGATGGAGGAACGCCTTGGGAAGGAGGATTTTCCCCAAGAATCCGAGTGAAGACTGTGCCCTCGGATTCTCGTATACCCCCCCCACCTGTAACGACTTCGAACAATTCATTCTCTGTTTTGACTATCGAAGAACCCGGTGAGGGGGAAGACACAGTGGAGATTGAAGGAGAGGGAGCGAGGACTCCCTCTGAGTTTGAGAAGAGTGAGGGAGCCGTTTCTCCCTCTGACTCTAAGCGAAGGGGCAAGAAACCCCGGAAGCCCGAGCGGGAGAAAGCGGAATGGCGCAGACTCCCCCTCGGAAGCGCGCGTCGGGTTGCAACCCGAGCGCGGGCACAGGAATGGAAGGCGCGGGAGATTATTACCAAGTGGACTCACCCGGCCAGAATACGAGAGGTGGACGACGAGATGGTGGAAGAAATCCGGACGGCTTACTTCCCTGATGCCCTGGGCATACTGGACAACTTGAAAGAGCCACCACAGTATATTCGGGCCACTGGGAACTCCATGATGGTTCCCATGACCCTTGAAGGGCTGAATAACCTTAAAGGTTACACAGTGGTCGGGTTACTGGACAGTGGGGCTACCAACGGATTCATGAGCCAGCAGTTCGTCGACGAACACGGAATCGAAGTGGAACCCCTAGCCGTAGCGGTTCCGGTTTACAACGCAGACGGTTCCCTCAACAAAGGAGGACACATCACCCACGTTGCGCGCATGCGTCTCTGAATGCAGGACCATGCCGAAATATTCTCGTTTGCGATAACGGATACTGGGAAGAGCGACGTCATCATTGGGTTCAATTGGTTGAAACAACACAACCCGGAGATCGACTGGCAGAAACAAACCATTCGTTTCTCCAGGTGTCCTGCCGCTTGCAAACGAGCCCGCTTATGGGAGGAGTGGGAGGAGGAGGACAACGCCGACGTAGGAGAGGGAGACCGCATCTTCGTTACGAAGATGTATCTCGAAGACGTTCTGGACACCCGGGATGCCGAACACCTCCGCGCTATGGGTAGCGTGGCTACTAAACTGGCGGCCGCTGCTCACGAGGCCAAGGGGGCTAAGACGCTGGAAGAGAGCATCCCCGCTCATTATCTGGAGGAATTTCGAGGAGTCTTCGAGAAAAAGGACTTCGATAAACTACCGGAACGGCGAAAGTGGGACCACGCAATAGAGTTGAAACCCGGCGCAGAACCCATAAAGGGGCGGAGTATTCCCTTGTCCGTCCCGGAACAGGCGGAATTG